TGAGCTCCTGATGCTGGTAAGAGATCACGCTGCCGCCTCAAATGGAGAGAAACTATGAAAGCATATCTTGAACTCTACAGCACTGACAAAACATAACTGACAAATCCCAGGCTCCTTTGTAGTTCTCATTTTCTGTTTCTGGGCAACCCCCGTCAATGAGCAGAACCAACCCATTCCCGAGCCACGGGACTCACGTGGGAAGGAGTTTTGGAAAAATTTCCAGGTATAGAATGTAACCAACTATACATAGAACTCTGAAAAAGAAAAGATGCAATACTCTGATTTTGGAAGACACTCAAAATATTCTCCTGAGCCTTAGTAGCTGGAAAGGCTGAGCTTCTCCTAAGCCACTTATTTATTTCACAGCCAGTGAGCATGTCCCACAAACCCTGCTTCCCTGTGTCTGCTGGGAGCCTGAGGCACACTGCTGCTGTCGATCTTATAAGTCACAGGGCAGAGGCATGTGTCTCATGCCTGAAACCCTCACACAGGCTTGCCTCCTAGCCTCACTGACTGAACTTGGCCCCATTTTCTCACCTGTTTATTTGGTATCTGTTCTTCTGTAAGCTGCCTGAAGTGCTTTTTGGAACATGTCAGAAGAATGAGTGGTTTGAGAAATGGACAGATGGACAGGTGAGAGTTGGGGAGACAAACAGAGAGACTCCAAGAAAAGGGGAACAAAGAAAATTTCCTATGCAAAACTCTCTTCTAGTCAGGGAAGGAAACCACCACGGAGAAGTGTGAAGAGGCAGGTAGCTTAGGACTGTTTCCTGGATTCCATGAAATGTCACACCAAGAGATGCGAGGGTAGAACTTTAAATAATAAAAGAAAAAAGCACACATGCTTGTAAAATATATCTACAATATGTACTTTCTAAAGAATAGATTCAAATCAGCAGGGCCCAATAACACAATCCTTGGGTAATTACATAAGTGAGAATCCCATCTCCAAACCACAAGGCATCCCTTCGGAGCACTGAGACTCTACACGGGGCGGTCATAAAGCCGTCACCGCAAAAGCTATGCGATCCTGCACTTACGAGGAACAAGCAGCTGTGCTCGGGCTGCCCACGCGCGTCATTTTCACCCCTCAGCACCTCTACAGGGGGGGGACGCCTAGCGAGCCCCATCCCTGCAGGAAAGAAAAGAAGTCCGGGAAAGGCAAAGCCGACCTACCAGTTCTCCATCTCACAGGAATAGACCCTCCAGAGCAGGATTCGAACTCAGACTCACGTTTGTAACCACAGTACTACAGTAATTTATGTGCTTTTTGTGTGTATAGTATATTTGTTTCTGGCATGAAAGGATATTTAATAAATGATCGGTTATCTTGTCTATCTCATTAGCTCACAATCTTTATATTTTTGAATTGTAATCTTTTCCCCTGGAGAAAGGAACGGAAAGAGCAGGGGTCAGAATAAGGTGGGGCTCCATTCTTTATCTGTTACCTCATCTCATTCAAGTCCCCAACCAGGGAGAAGGAGCAAATGTTCTCTTCATCATTTAAAGAGAGGGCTCCACTGATGGTGACTTACTCAACTCCAAAACCAAGTCTGGGGGAAGGGTACATGCAGCAACCAGAGCAGTATCACCTGTAGGAAGGCGAAAAGAGCTCAGGGGATGGCTCAGGGGGTCAGCCTGATTTAATTTCAATTGATAAAAGAATACCACAGTCTAAAAATACTAGCATGCAATGGATTTGCTGTTTCTTGACATCTAGCAAGTTTCCAAAGCCCACATGTAACATTATCGTGAACTAGTGAAATGAAGAGACCACAGACAGGGAAAATCAATGCCACAGGCAGGCTGAAACCCAGGCTGGAAGAAAGGAAGAGAAAGGGCATAGTTAAGTAAGGGGAAAGTCTGGGAAAAAGACATCATCGCAAGGAGTCTAAAGCATCATCCAGCAATCATATAATCAATCATTCAAGAGAGAGTTACTTAGGTCCTATTTTGTGCAAGATTTTACAGAGGGCAAAGAAAGGCTGCAGAATCCATGGTGGCAGCAAGTGGCGGGGCTATAATACAATTCTGGTCCCTGTACCTTGCACACGTGTACTCAGCATAAAGGCAAAATTAAAATAAAATAATACTATGTAAACTGTACACATTGTAGAAAAAAAATTAAAGAAGACCTAAATACCTGGACAGACACACCACACACATTCCTGGATAAGATGACAGCACTCTTGGGATGGAAGTGCTCCCTAGAGCGATCCGTATACTCAACGTGGTCTTGATGACAATCCCTGCGGGCCCCTCTGCAGTAACTGACTAGATGCTGCTGCAATTCATATGGGAATTCGAGGGACTCAGTAACCAAAACATACTTGAAAAAGAAGAACAACATGAGAGGACTTGTAATTCTCAGTTTCAAACCTTACAACTATATCTCAAGATGAGATGAGTCCATTTTTAAGTTATTAGTGTGTTTATCCTTATTTTCTAAATTCTGTACAATGAAAATACCTGTTTGAATAAGAAAAATTAAAAGTAAGGTATCTTTTAAATCATGCACACCGATTCATTCATTGGGGAAATATTATTTTTACAATAAAGAGGTAAAAACATATCTAGTGAAAAAGGAGTACTTAAAAACAAGTGTGCATTTACAGTTTTCATAAATTGAAAACTGAAAA